TGTTCAAGCGGTTAATTTTGAAAATGGTAAGTTTCGCAACGTTTATATAAACGTTGCGAAACTTAAATTTATTTTATTTTATTTGATTTTTTTTTGTAAGAAACATCATTTATTCTAACGTTTCTTTTTTTGTAGGTCCAAGTGTTTCGGTATGGAAACTTCAGAACGGTGAATTTCGAAACAGTAAATTTCGAAATGGTAAGTTTCGCAAAGAAACAATGCAAACCAATTTTTTTTTAATAAGAAACTAGGCGTAACCCGTCACGTTACGCGTCTGAAGTGTAGCGTGTAGCGTATGTATATACTCATACATATTATAATTTATTTACTGTTTTTTATATGATTTAAATTCCTTACTTTTAATTTTCAACATAATGTTTGGCAATAAAAAAGAAGAATTATCTTGAATACGTGATTTACACATATTTGTTGAATATAATCAAAATAACGAATAAAGTAAGCATTCTTGAAAAAACTTTCTTTACTCTTATCAGTTAATAACGTGATGGTCAGTAGCGAAATTATTACTAATGTATTACTTAATATTAAGTTATCGTTCAGCCCAATAGGATCATGCAGATTTTCAAGCAAATTTGCAATATATAATTTCACATAAAACTTTATCGTGCGATACAGGTGACGTGCGTCAGTTATCAACATACGCAAATCTACACCCGAGACACAACAATGTGGTTTATATATATCGTTTTTTTTTTCGATCACATTTTCTGTTTATTTTAATTCAAAAAAAAAAGATACTTTTAATTTTACAATAAATTTAAAAATATTATAACGCCATTATATTTTTCTCGGGGAGTAATGATACCATGCTCAACACGACCGCCATTTTGTTCTATTGAAATTATAAATTTCTTAATAACTTTTACTACACTTAAAAATGAATAAAAAGTGCTAATGGTTTCTTTTTATTTCATCAAGCAAGAAAGTATAAGAACATGAAGATGAAAAATCGACAATGCCGTTACATTTAACTGAAGTACTAATATTACCAATATCGAATAACAGATACTGTTAATTCAAATATTAAGTGTAATCCATGAAGTTATTAAAACGTATAAAACTAAATCAACTAATACAGAAAAAAATTAATAATAAAAGAAGCAAAAATAATTGCTTAAAGAGTTTACACAGCTTTTCATTAATTTACAATTTAAATTACTTACATCCGTCTTTTTTTCGATCAATTAGTTAAATTTATAGTACACAATAACTACTTTATCTTGGGGACGTTAATTATAATACAAGTAACTTTGATCATATGGAAATAAAGAATTAAAAAATATATTAGCTTGAGTGTTATTAAAAATGATAGGATTGAATTGATGATGTTTCTTAAATTTAATATATGTGCATATCGATATTTATATTTCAAAATTACGTTTGAATGATAATAGTTAATACAGTTTTGATTGAATAAAACGTGAATGTCTCGTAACTCTCGTTGTTATTATGATGATTAAGCGAAACTAAATACCTTTCAAAAAGTTGATAAAATTATGATAATTCATCATGAGTTTAGCACTGTACGAAGTGATAACACTCAACTATCCCTGCTTGAAGGTTCAAAGAACATATTCTATATTAAAATGTAATTATTAGAATATTAACGGATTATTTCTAACTTACTGTAAATTCTAATGAATGAAAATCCGGTTTATAATTAAATTATTATATAAGGTGGGAGCGGAATATAATTCCTGAGTTTATTTATGAATCACACAAACTTTTCTGTAAAATATCAGCCATTGACCCATACTACGGTCATCATACTTACTATTTACTGTATTTGTTTTAAGATAGCACAAAATGCGTAAAAATTATTATTTTGTACAAGCAAAATAGAATTCAAGGAATTCAAGGAAAAACTAACAAAATTTTACCTACTGTACGTCTGTACATTTACATTGCATATCATCAACGAACACATCGGTTTATTGCTTGCTTGGCTATATTTTACAAAAAAAAAAAAAAAAAATATAAAATCGATCCTTTTAGCACATGTCTTGTTGACGCGTGCAGTAAAATTCCTGTTGACTTTCCCTGTAAGGATGCAACTACCACGAAATATCACGTGATTTTTTCATCACCGGTGTCATTTCTATTTTCATAAAACATTTGTATCCCTGCGTAACCGTAAAAAAAGCACCTACAGGGCCGGCGGCATTACGGCATTATGCAGTTGCACGTGAAAGTGCGGGTGACGAATAATGAGTGATAAATAAGTTTTTGCCCACTCGAAAAACAGTCCCTCAGATAAATAGTATTTCGCATTCGGAGGTGGGTGTGATGCCTTGTGATGAATAAAATGGGCGAATACGTGATAATGCATTTTCACGGTTACGCTTGGGAAAATATCATGTACGGAATAACCTAATTTGGCAAATTTGCCGGAGTTGATTCCGGTATTTTATTGTACTTTGCACAAATGAAAGTTACAATTTTGGTTCTCTTGTTTCCTTTTCAACAATTTTATATTCAATATTTTGTAAATTCTAATAGATAGAGAAGTTTATTTTGATCGCCCCTTTTTTGTCAAGTTTTTTTTGAAAAATTTTTTTATTGATATATTGATATCAGATATCACTTGCGAAAGATTATTTTAATCCGCCTTTTGTTTTTTGAATAAAAATGTCCAACCTCAATAAAGATACTCTTTTCTTGGTATTTAAAGAATTACAAGATGATTCTAAATCCCTCTTTTCATGTCTTATGGTCAGTAGACTTTGGTGTGATACTTCAATACCAATTTTATGGAGAAACCCCTGGTCCTATAGCGATATTAATTATACAAACAAAAGCTATTTATTCATTATTCTTACTCGCTATTTATCCGACGATATTAAAAAATTCATAACAGAACGAATCCACTTGGATTCGGTTGTAGTTAAATCACTTCAGTTTGATTATTTATCCTTCTGCAGAAGTATTAATGTAGATACTATAAATATTATATTTTCTATTGGATCACCCTTGGCTTATAATAAATTTTTTATGCAACAAGAATTTTACTCTTTCTTTATGAGAAAGTGCCCGGAATTGAAGTATCTAGATATGAGCTCTATTAAACATCAAATATTTTATTTTCCAGAAGCTAAGGCTCGTCTTGAGTCACTATATGAATTAAAATGTGATACATCTATTGATTCTTCGTACTTTTATGGATTATCGCAATTCTGTCAATATATACAGAAACTCATCATTATTAATATAGACACAAAAATTAATCATGGGATTGTTAAGTTGATTGAAGTTCAGAAGAACCTAAAGCATTTTGAATGGAAGGATGATTTTGATGATGATCTTATAGAAAATCCTTATAAAGAAGTATTTCGTGCATTAGAAAAGAAAGCAAATAGTCTTAATTACTTAAAAATACGCCCCTTTTATATTGAATATAGATTAATACAAGAGGCACTAATAAATTTTTATAAACTAAAAGTATTAGTAATTGATGGATATCTTTTTATTGCTGAAGAACAATTAGAACAATTGAGAATGATAGCTTATCATGAACTTGAAGTGATTAAGGTTGATTATAATCAATTAGACATAATTTCTAGTATAATTGAAAATAGTGGAAGATGTCTCAAAAAAATTTTGTTCAAACCTTATGATATTGTTGATCTTGATGATTTTGATGACGTTGATTTTAACAAGAGTTCTCTCAATTTTATTCGTAAAGTCTATGAAAATTGTCCCTATATTGAATATTTGTCAATTATATTTCCATCATCAAAGGAGCACTTTATTGAATTTGAAAAATTATTAAAAATTTGTCAAAATTTAAAGTCATTGTTAATAGTTTTATGGAATAGAGATGAAGTAGAAACTTATGAGAAAAATGGGGAAGAATTATTAAAAATATTAATTAGATCAGCACCAACTAATTTAAAAGAAATTAGACCTGGTGATGAATTTAAATTTTCTTTAGAAAGCTTGGAGGATTTCTTAGAAAAATGGAGGGGCAGACGTGCACTTTCTATATTCACTATTGATCCTATTTACATAAGAGAAGATTATAAAAAACTGATCGATAAATATAAAGGTGATGGAGTAATCAAAAATTTTGAAAACTTGCATTATTTAGATTTTATTAAATATTGTGATAATGCCTCGTGAGTTTGTGAAAAGCTGCTTCTTCTGGTTACTTTTCGTACAAAGTTTGTGGATTTATTATAGTATGCGAACATACGATATAGCTATGATTCTTATCAAAATAGTAATATAGTTTCATAGATATCAAACCAGATTAATTAATAAATTGTTTTTTTTTTGAAATTTTGAACTTTTTACAATTGCACGAGAATTAACTATAAACAAAGTAGTAAATCTTCTATTTTTGCATATAATTCGAGTTAAACAGCATTTATAATCGTTATATTGTGAGCCCGAGGTGCTTATTCCAGAAAATAAGTATTGAAACTTTCTTTAAAAATCTTTATAGGAATCATATAAATCAATCAATACATAGATGATAAGATGAATTTATTCGTATATATATCGTTTTTTTAAAAGGAATCAATCTTTTTTTTTTAAAAAAAAAAAATATGACAGCAATAATACAGAAAGAATTTACATAACGTCAAAAGAATTTTTTATTTGTCTCTTTTACCTTGCTTATATTAATGGTAATTATTTTCTTTTCAGAAGCGTCCATATTAATGTTTATTATCCTTTAAAAATAAAGATAAGTATTAAGTATACACAATAAAAATGAAGGTTAGCCTTTAATTTCTTCTACAATTATTTTTTTAGATCTTTGTATTTTACGTACCATGCATATTACGCATCTCGTGTCGTGCGCATCAATTTTAGTGCGCATGGTTCTCACCAGCATGTGATCTGATCATTATTAAGCTTTTGTGGTTTTCGCTTATTATTTTTTTTTAATCCCTTTTTCTCTTATTTATTTCAACACACATATTCTTAATTTTCCTTTACTTTCCTCATTTATTATTTTTTTTAGCTTCAAAACCAATATGAATGGTTCAAATTCTATGTTCAGTGATGATTCTGATACAGAAACCTTTACCAATGAATTTCTTAATAGTATTCCTGAAGATAGTGATGAAGAAGAATGTTCTTCTGAGGTTATTGAGAATTCTAATAATTTTAACAAATATTTAAATACCTTAGGCCGCTCCAATTTAATAGTTTGTTTAACGTCCTAACTTTATATAAAAATTGAGGGAGGGGGGTCAAATTAAGTAAACATTTAAAAATGAACATAGTTTTTTCTTTATCACTCAATGCATTTTTACTAAAAATACATTTTGGTTTATTACAGATAATGCAACTAATAAGTTTACGTATATTACTTTTATTAATTATACCACTAGGAATATTTTCTTTGGTAAATTCAAATACACTGGAAAGAAATTTTTTATTTTTATTTTTATTTTTATTTTTAAATATAGACACAACTGGGGTCCAACAATACATAAGAACAATTCTAAACTAAAAGTCTACTAAATTCTAAGCTAATGATAAAACCCAACTTCTCGGGAGAAGCCCGAAGGAGTTGCCTTGCCTGTTGAGATTTAGGGGACCCACGCATAGTGTGGACCCCCTAAATCTGCTTTCATACCAGTACCCACCTTATGGTAGGCGTAGTGCAATGGTAGTTCATTTCTATTCAAAGTCCTGCTGCCCATGTACATAGGGATTGGAAAAGATTCGATTAAAATCGAAACTATCGAAAATCGATAAGAATCGATTTTAAATCGAATCTCGAATAAAAATCGAATCTACTTATTGTGGCGCAGTTTCGTTAATTTGACTACCCCTGCGTACCCTTCAAAAATGTCACAAAACGGCCGGCATTACGGCGTTATGCACTAACACGTGAAAATAAACAGTGACGAATAAGGGTGTGACGAATAGGTTTTTACTTACTCGAAAAAAACTAAGTCCCTCAGATACTTATAGAAAATGGAAACGCAGTGGGTGTGACGGTTGTGACAAAAAAAAGTCACGTGAATTTTCGTGACATTTTTTGAAGGGTACGCAGGGGAAATCCGTTAATTTGACCGTAAACATATGGGCTAATCGGACTCAACTCACTAAGTAATAATCAGGTTAAAATTGAGGGATATATATGGAATTTGTGTAACAAAACAATCTATATTGATAATCGCCAAATAGGAGAGCGAAGAAAATATTTTCTCTCAACAAAACAATATAGTGGAGAATCGTCGGGGAATCGTCATTTTATTGGTTATTCATTCTTATATTATATAAACTGGATTTGTTTTAAAATATACCAATTTTTAAAGTACAAACATTTAAAGTATATAAATAATACCCTTATTTTTCTTTATTTAGAGTTAACATTAACGATACCTGAAATATTTTACAAATTTCGCTTGCTATTACGTTCCAATTTGGTAATTTTTAAAGTATTCAGTTAGTTATAATGGATAATATGGAACAAGTATATAAAAAAAATTATTATATTGCTATTTTTTTTGTTTGATTTGTTTTACTTATTGTTGTGTTTTATTTATTTATTTATTTATTTATTTTTTTTGTTAGAATTCAAATCGCACTTTTATTCATGATTATCCAAATAGCAATATAATTACTACCATCTATTATGAAAGTGGTGGCAAATCTCATTCGAGAAAGTACATTATTCATTCGTTAGGTATTTATCCTTCCAATGTAAAAAAAACAAAGAGAACATCAAAAAATTGCCCTGAATATGAAATACCAGATAATTATAAAGTTGAAACAACTTTAGAAGGGTATGACATTATTTGTGAAACAAATTATTCATCTAATGGGACGGTAAAGTTTATACTTAACTGGAAAGATTCACAAGGTATTGATCGATATATCTCAAATAATAATTCTGCATCGGGTGTTGGCAAAGACTTTTTAATGGTAATTTATTGAATTTTTATATTTAATCATTTTTATTTTGTTCATTATTTATATTGAATTTTTTTGTTAATTGTATTTTTTTTTTTTTTTTTTTTTTTTTTTAAAAAAAAAAAATATTTAGCTATTAAATAAAAAAACTCGTATTTCTGGAACTATTCTATTTGGTTTTGATATTCCTTGTTTAATTGAAGCACAAAAATCTATTTTGATACCTATCAATTGTAAAAATTCTTTCACTGCTCTTACATCACGTTCACAACAAAACAAGCGTATAAAATTACTAGCTAAAGATATTGAAAGGGCATCACAAATAATTTTAAAACAACAAAATTTTGATAACACAAAAATTCGATATATTGAACTTGAAATTGGTGATGAAATAGTTGGGATTGATCTATCAAAAGTTAATTTAGATTTTACTAGAATTCGTCAGGATGCGGTTGTTTGTGCATGTGATGAAGCACTAATACCAAGAGATGGGTATAGACATTTGGCAGCTATTAGTCCAAATCTTGAAAGAGAATATCAAATTAGTAATAGGCGAAATGAAATTTCTAAATATATGGAAACAATCATTCCAATTTATAATTGTAAAATAGAATTAGATAATGTACAAAATAATTCTAATAATTCTTCTAATAATTTTTCTAATAATAATTCTGTAAATTCTAATTTTTCTTTAACTAATGATCAAAGTGGAATTTGTTCTTATCGTTCTATTAAAGATTTATTAAATACTTTGATACCAATTTGGAAAAAAAAATCAATTTTAAATATTGGCGATAATATTAAATTAAAATTTGGTGGTGACGGTCATATAGTTACAAATAAATATTCTCACGTTATGTTTACAATGTGCTTACTTAATGAAGGAGATGAAGTATTAAAACCTGATAAACAATATTGGTAAAATCTATTTTTATTAAATAAATGTAATTTATTTATTGTATTCTAATTTTAAATTTTATCAAGTATCCTATTATACATAGGTAAAGAACAATATGAAAAACTTTCTATTGCGGTCTCAAAATTCAGTAATGAATTAGATTCTTTAAAAAGTGCTGGATTTATTGACCAAGATAACATTACATGGAGCATTGAATTTTACTTTAGTGGGGATTGGAAATTTATGGCTCTCGTTAAAGGATTAAAAGCAGCAAATTCAAAATATTTTTGTTTATTTTGTGAATGCCCAAAAGATTCACGTGGAAACTTAAATTTACAATGGAATATTTCAGAAAATAAGAAAGGTATTTATTTGATAGTTTATTTATATAAAAATTGATATTGATAAAAGAGTCTGTGATAATAATTCTACTATTACTAATATTGCAAAAGGTTGAATTTATTTAGGTATTGAACATCCAAGTCTTTTTCCAATAATCGAACTTGATCATTGGATCCCTGACGAATTACATGTCATGTTAAGAATAACTGATGTTTTAATGGATTGTCTATTCTGAGATTTAATGATCGATTTAAATGAATTTAAAAAGGCTACCAAAATTTTAATTGAAAAGGAAATGCAAAGAATTGGTTTGACACATTTCCAGTTTTTTGAATCAAAATCCAAAGGAAAGTCTTGGGATTGGACATCTTTGACTGGACCTGATAAATTGATAATGTTACAACATTTTGACGTAACAAAATTTATTGCTGGTGATCGTGGAAGAAAAATATCATTTTTATGGAAAGAATTCTTTAGTTTATATCAATTTTTACGCAAGGATTTATTTACTGATGCTGAAATTAACTCTTTTGAGGTTAATGCGAAAAATTGGATCAAGTTGTTTTGTGAACCTACTATCGGAAAATCAAATTCTATCAATCAAAAGAGAGGCATGTTTAATCCTACTGATATAACTCCATATATGCATATTTTTGTATTTCATATTCCAGAATTTTTAAGGAAATTACAACATAAAGGATTAAATATGAGACAGTTTTCTACTTCAAGTATAGAAAAGAAAAATCATTTACATGTATGATTTAATTGTAACTTAATTGCTTGGCGTTAAATTACTAATTATTTATTTTTTTATTTTTAGGTGAAATTATTTTTTGGGGGACAACTATGGGAGGAGGAAATAATAACAACAATCATTCCGTTTTACATGATATCATGTCGTTTGAAAATAGACAATTATACTACTTAATTAATGATACACCCCGATGTATTAAACAAAGAATCATCCGTTCAAATCCTTGATTTTTTATATAATTATAAAAAAATAAAAAAAAAATTATAAAATATTATACAACTAATATAAAATATCTTTTATTGTGAAAAATATGAAAGATTATCGAAAAATTTTATTCTATTGTTAGCTTTTATAAATGACATTTTAACAATATGAGAAATTTTATAACGTAAAATAAGAAAAACATATATACAAAATTAAATGTTAATTTCTAAATAAAAATTTGGTTCTATATTTTAAAAATGGAATTAATTTTAATAAAACAAATTATTATTAGCTTTAATTAAATAAAACGTACCATTATTTGAGTTATCACTCATAATACATTCTTCGCATTTCTTAAAAATGTTTGCATCAGTATCATCCTCTTGACTTTGAACAAAATAACCGGCAGAAATTGTAAAAGAAACCACCAATTTTGGACTATGTAAAATTAAAGGTTTTTTGCCATCACGAATTCTTGTTACTACAAAATCAGACCAAATAAAAGTTACATCCTTTTTCCGCTCTTCATTCTCCATAAACACATAAGCCTTTGTTCCGCTAACGTGATTTTTTTCTCCCCAATCTTTACAATCAAATAAGTATCCTAATCGGTTATATCCTGCTTCTCCTGTAAATACGCATTTATATTTTTTTAAATAAGGTATATAGGTGAAGCTTTCCTCATTAGAAAAAATTTTAACAAATAATTCTTCACTAAATGGTTCGCATGTCAATTGCCTGACTCCACTTTTGGAACGGTGATATGAAAGCTTTTTTTCAATTCTGACTAGCAAGGAACTCCAAAAACTTCGAACTTGAGTATCAGAAATACTATCAAGTAAAAGTTGTTGTATATGTGGAATGACGTGATTATTGGGATGTAGTTGTCTTTGGTGTAAAGAAAGTTTAGTTTTTGTATAGAGACGGGTTGAATTGTCAGTAAATTGACATAAAGAACACGTAGTTTTATTAAAAGAGCTTTTTTTATTCTTGGCGTTCATTGTTCTAAAGAATAAAAATTAGACCTGTTTCACAAATCACGGTAATTTTGATTTTCAAATAATTAGCCAATCATATCCAAATTTTGAGTAATCACAATAATCACGATTTTATCACATTGTTTTGCCATGTGACATTTGGTTGATGCGTCAAATTAGCCTATATGATTATTATTTGTTCATAATAGTTAATTTTGGCCAAATTCATAATTCCGCCCGCGAATCACGTGACGGAACACAACTTCCTAAAAAGGAAATTTTATCTCCCAATAAAATTCAAGTTGCTATCGCACAAGGTTGTACAAATTTCCAAAAAAGGAAATTTGTTCGTCGATCACTGTATTTTTGTAATCACGTGATATGTGTTTAAACACACCTATTATAAATAGTATAAAAAAAAATCGGTATTTGCGAAACGATTAATCGCGATTAATCAATTTTAGAATCGATTCTAATAATGGGAATCGATTCCAATCCCTACATGTACACTACACTAGGTATGAGCTGACTGCAATGTATCCAAGGCTCACGCAAATTGGTGGACCACTAGTACTCCCGCCTGCACTATAATATTCCCATAGGGGCCTATATAGAGCTCCTAATGAGTCGAGTCGAGTCGAGTTACGAGTTAAAAACCTTAATTTTAAAGTACTTTTTATTAAGTTAGAATATAATTAAACGAAAATTTACAATTATGCGAGTCAAAATGTGAGTTTATGCGAGTCATTTTCGGAGCTCTAGGCCTATATCAGGTACCAAGATGCTTTAACAGAGTCATAGGACCATCTGGCATATTGGATATGCTGGAATCGCAGTACGGGACCACTATCCCTTGGTTATCTGAAGTCAAATGACCATTTCTAGAACTCGCCATACCAGTCTACCAATGATCACATCTACCACCTCACCATTCAGTAGGCATCATTTCAGCTCCCCCTAAGGGTACGGGATCTTCAACGCAGTTGGTGGCTGCGCACGCAGTAATATTCGTAGTAAGGATCGTTGGCTGAATGATCTGAACCTGCGTCCTATTGATTGGTCAGATCAATAGGAAGCTTAGGCCATTACACTAGGGATGCCAATCTCCTGGAAAGAAATTCTTTTAAATATTATACAGATCGGTGATGTTATTATAAGTCACGTGATATAACATATGTTTGTTTATTTTTAAAAATTTTTCAAAAACGAGGGGGTGGTGTATGTTAAACAAACTATTAAATTGGAGTGGCCTTAACATGAGAAGTTGGTGTCATTTTTCACTTGGAAATCTGCATATAACTATATCAAGGGTTCTTTATTTGGCAAGAAAGATATGTAAAACTGGAAAATGAGCATAGAGAACAAATAATAGTATATGGCTGTGTGGTACATACAACAATGAATCAAAAAGGAACAAAAGCAATAAATGGCATAAATGGCATATCAATCTTTCTCGACCTGTCAAAATAATCCAAAACCTTTTCTATTACTACGCTATTTAATGAGCATTTTCGTCACAATTTAAACCTTTTTTTATGTTATTTTGAGATGAATAAAGCTTTTACAAAGCTCATGTTAGATGACATCTACTAATTCTAATGAAATTATTGGTGGACGAAATCAAAATAAATGTGGACTATGATATAATGTTGGATATAATCGTGCAACTTGTCCATCTAGTCCTGATAGAAAGAAAAGAAAAAAACAATAAATTGATGGCTCAAATTACTATTGTAAGCTGGCCGGTTTGAATTACAGTAGTAATTTGAGCACAGCGCCCTTCGGTTGCCAGAATGTGCCAAATAATTATAATAATGTAATTCAAATTTATGCAGTACTATTAAAAGGACGCGTATTAAAAAAATGTGTATTGCTAAAATTATTATTATTTTTTTTATTGATTTTTATACATACGTAAAATTTTAAATTTAATTAGTATTAATAAATTTGTGCGCACCCTGAAATTTTGCGCAGATGTGCAAAAAATAAAAACCGTATTTTTTTTTATATATTTTTATAAGAAAATGTATACTTCGTCAGTCGTATACTATTTTTCAAGCTGTAAACAAATATGAAATTTTTTACATTTATCAATGATTTGCTCGATCACTTGATCATGTGATAATTAATAAGCCTGAGCGGAGATAGTTGACGATTAAAAAATTGATTAGAAATATGAATTTATTTTAAAAACAATAACATTGGTTTTTACTGAGCAATGACTCCTATTCATGTTGAAAAACACAGTAAGAGAAATGCAAGTTGACTCATTAAATTTTAGAATTACTACTGCTAGCAAAGTAAAAAATGTAGAACATATTCTATTTTATAGGCAACATACACTATATCTAGGGATTTCTATGGATGTCAAGTAAGTAGTTCAGAGCTTATTGAAATTTACTTATTTTGAATATCATTTTCTCTTATAATAATATTAGTAAATCTCGTAATAATAATCTTTTAACCAAATTTAGTTAATGAAGCTGAGCAATTCAACTTGTCTATAATGAGAAATCAATAATTTTAGTTGGTAGGAACCGAATTTAGGAACTGGTTCAGTTCCAAAGTTCCAAAGTTCCAAAGTAGTTCAAAGCAATTGCTCATTTTGGAGATCATTTTTTCCTTATGAAAGGGAAGAGGAAAGGAGCAGGAAAAACAAAACATACACCCACACATTCACACCACTCACATACATGATGTAAAGAACGGGATTTAAGAGAAATTCTAATAAAGAGAGAAGAAAACACGAAAAGAAGATTGAAAAAAGAAAACCTGACAATTAACTTACTAATTATTTGCTTCTTTCTTTCTTATTTAGTGTCTTATTTTTTGATGAAATGTTTGTTAACATTTCTTGTTTCTCTCCTTTTCAGATGGATTGCAGGTATTTGGGTATTTGATTGCATGGGAATTTAGTAAGTGTTCACAAAATATTTACTAACATTTTGTTTTGCCTTTAGATGGATCTAGACACGTAGATTTAGTTGAACTATTTCTTTTTTTGAGCAGCTAACTCTTCGGTCTTTCTGAATCTCTTTGGAAGTGTCAGTTTTTATATATTTTCGTAAGTAATTTTTCCCTTTACTTATTTATATTAATAATCAATTACTTACACTTTGTTCTTTTTTCTTAGCTGAAATATGATACCATTATTTAAATCAGGTTTCCATCTTGTTATAGTTGTGTCACCAGGGTGCTATATCAACAGAAATTTAGTATGTTATAGTAGAGTAAAAAACAGACAATAGCCTTTTCCTATTTGGTAATCTGTCGTACTCTCTGAAATATAGTGGTACAATTTTTTTTTATATTTTTTAAAATAATGTGCCCCATAGACTCCCGGTCAAACGATCATCAAAACACTTGCAAAGTATACTCTTTTTTGGTTGTGATCAACACGAAAAGTTTGCCTGCGAATTTAATATCTTAGATTTTAGATTATAGATTTAATAATAAGAATAATGAATCCTAAATCTAAGAGTATAACGCCCACCCTCCCTCCTTATGAACCGATGGGCTATATATATTTTTTTTCCTTCATTTTTTTTCATTTTAAAAAAAAAAAA